AAATTGCTTCACTGAACTTTTTTTTCTTGGCCTCTAAGGAAAGTTTGTAATGGTTGGACAGGTTGGTTCCAGCTGCCAGAAACGTGCAATCATAAAGGACTTGTTTATCTTTTGTTCTTGTCACCTTTCGGAAGGCTAAAAGATAAGCACCTGGCAATGGCCAGATTAGCCCCGCTCTTCAGGTTTTTTTGACGTGTCTCCTTTTTATTTATTTATTTTTTTAACTCTTCCTATAGATGCTGTCTCCGGTTTACAAGAGCAGGGGGAATTCAAGCCCGGGCAGATGGGTGAGCTTAGCCCAGGTGCGATTCTCTTGTTTGGGCTCTGAAATATCCCGAGGGGTAAATTTAACCCACTGTGCTCCTGGGGCTGCCTGAGACCCGTGGTGCTTGGCTGAGCCGTGCTGGTGGCGATGCCGGGTGGGGGCACGGGCGCGTGGCCACGGGGTCGGAGAGGCATCCGTGGAGGTGCTGCATGGCCAGCTCTTCCCTCTGGAGGGAAACGGGAGAGGTGGACCGCGGCACCTGCAGTTCCTTAGCAGGTACTATTGGTGCGGGAGGCATCTGGCCGAACTTTGTAACCCCAAAAGTAGGCAGCTGCTCTAAGCCAGCCATGCAGGCTGCATTTTGCAGATGTTAGTTACTGTAGTTTTGACTTAGACTGTATTTCAGTATTTTTTTTCCATGTTGTCTTCCACCTTATCTTAATTATCAGGAAAATTTGCAGGATCTTAGAAACACATGTTGCTGGTTTTCCACCACAGGCTGTTTGATTTTTGTCTGGCCCCCACCTGGTAACACGGCACAAAGATAATTGCTTCTTATAGGAAGTAAGAAAAAGGATTTGAGGGATGAAGGGCTGGAGCTGGGGAAAGGCCTAGATGAAGTTTTTATTATGGATTGAAGCAATAGTAAATGGAATAATTGTACACCTCCCCCCTCCCCAAAAGCATCTTGATGTATATTAACGGTGTGAGCTTCAGATATAACACTAAGGGGCAGGAGTTGTCCTCTGCCACCGCAGTCCCTTTTTCCTATGAGGGGACTGTTACACAGAGTCCAGTGACTGGTGCGAGCACAGCTTGGCTAGAAAACAGGGGCTCTTTCCAAACTGTAGCCCCCGCTGCGTGTCACCTCTTTTTAAATGAAAAACAGATGGAAAAAAAAAACCTGCAGGAATTGTGTAGTGTTAGATACGTTTTAGTTAAAGGAAATCCCTTCCGTATTTTGGGGGAATTGAGGTGTCCTCTCTTGTCGTTTAGACGTGAGGTCTTGGATTTGTGTGCTCCGTAGCGGTGAGATGCGAGGCAAGAGGCCGTCGTGGTGCACTGCCCGGCGCCTGCCGGTCGGGCATCCCAGCAAAGGGACGTCCGGGCACAAGCAGATCTGCGAGGGCTTTCGTACAGGGAGAAATAAGGATGTGTAAGGAGAAAACTTAGACTGCCCTTTCAACTCATGTGTTCTGGTTTTGGTTTGCTGTTCAGCCTCAGCATCCAGTCAGCCTCTCTGCCTCTGTTGCCGTATCGGTAAAGTGGGAATGGTTGTTACAGGGTCCTGGAGGGAAAAGTAGTTATTAGTTGAAAAGTAATGCGTGAAATGCAGACAGCTTTGCAAACAGAGCGTTTTGAGGCAATGCGATAGTCGTATCTGCAGTGATGATTGTTCGAGTGACCTATTACTGTTGCTGTTTTTCTCAGACGGGTCGGGACCGCTCCACCAGGGACTGGAGCGAGGATCAGTCACGTGTCCCTTGTGTGCCGCTGGGAAATAGCTGTGGTGCTGGCTCTGCGAGCAGAGCTTCGTGCAAGCGTCCGCTCGTTCGAATAAGCCGCTCCGACAGCAGTCTGGCTCTCAAGCGGCCTCTGGAAAATAGTTTCCAAAGGGCCAAAAAATACAGGGAAGGCGCGCGTTGCCATGAGCGTGCTGAAGGCCGGCTCGGCGGAGACTGCGCCGCGTTTGACAACGCTTCTCGGGACGTCAGCACCACTTAGGTTGCTTTGGGTACGCGTGGATGGAGGCGGCACGTTTCCTCCTCCACTCTCAGACCTGGTTTACCTCGTGGGGAGTCATGTCCTTCACTTCTGCTTCCCACCTCTCGCGTTGCTCCTCATGCACCGGCCTTCCTAGGCTTTTTCCTTTCTTTTAGCCGTGAAGAAGAGCAGGAAAGCGAGAAGAGCTGTTTTCCCTCCTCTCCTTCCCCCAGAGCACTCCCCGGTTTGCAGACCTGGCTGACAGCCAAGAGCAGGAGAAAACACCAGAATAGGAAAATTGCCTCTGATCATTTTTCTTCATAGTTGACAAGAAAGGGAAAAGTGACTGGTTTATCTGGGGTTGCTCAAAAACCTGTTTCACAAAACTTCTGTCAGGAAGCAAGTCGACTTCTTGAGAGCGAAGAGGTTTTGGTTTTCTTTTTCCAGCTGAACGTGTAGGTAGTGATTTAAATTTCCATGAAGAAATGGGTTCTCCACTCCATGGAGAAATTAGAGTCAAAATGAGAGTCAAGGGCCATGCCCCTGTACCATACGCAGAGCTGTGGGGAACCAAGTCCAGCCCCCTGCTTGCTGTCCCCCAAGCCCCAGCCGGGGCACCCTGGTCACCACAGTTTGGTGACTTCTCAGGTCCAGCGAATTGGCTCTTCTGGGGTCTCTCTCGGCTGTCGGTCGCCTCCTTCCCTCCCCTTCCTGCTGTCCCCAACGGCCCTCGGGATCTCTCCTGCTCTGCTTTGTCTCAGTGTAGCGTGGCAAAAAGTCTGAAATTGCAGCAGGCTTCATGAGATGCAAAAAATGTCTTATTCCTAGGTTGAGCGTAAACCTCTCTGATATGTACCTGGTAGCTTGAGACCAAACGTGATTTGTGTGAAACTGAAGCCAAGCCCACCATTTTTCTCACCTTCCACCCATGTGCTTGTTGCCCTTTCTTAAATCGTGCCTTAGTCTCCGGACCAGATTACTTGTTTGCTGCTATGAATTTTCTTGTTGTCAGCAGAGCTGCGGATCACTGGAAAGGCCGGTGCCTCGTGTCCCGTCTGGCTTGTAAGGGACGGGGACCCTTGGTGAATGCCTAACTGCACTCATGGTGCGTTATAAACGTGGGACGCCCTGGGATAACGCTCTGCCCCACCACGGTGTGCTCCAAACGAAGGAACCGTAAAGCTTTCTGGACACCCGATCTGCTTGAGATCAGCTCCCTGCTTCAAGTATGAGTTGTTGATGATGGAGAGGGGTATGACAGATGTGGAAAGTACTCCTGTGCTTTATAGCCGGTGTCTTCTAAAGCAGCTTTTCTATGCAAGTGAAGAATTTACATCTCTTACAAAGATATATATATTTTGCTACTTGTAACTCATTTTATGCGTCCGGTTGCTACTGTACTTATTAAAGATTTAATACTTCCATCCACTAAGAACTGCGTGCTCCTCCGTCCCCTGCAATGGCTACACGCACGGCCCTTGTGCCCGCTCTGCGTGGAGGGAGGGAGGGAGAGAAGGCGTCCCCGGTCCCGGCGTCTCCGTGCCGTGGGAGGAGGTGGCCTTGCGGTGACCGAGGGGCACCGGGGCAGCTTAGCCGTGGGGGCCAAGCGGTGAGAGGGAGCGTGAGCACATTTTGTGGCCAAATGGCTGCCTCCTCTTGGTGTTCCCCAGATCTTAGAAGGGCGAGGGAGTGGTAAAAATTACCTTTTTTTGTTTATGGTGGGGCATTTTTTTTTTCCTCCTCTGCACTGGCAGAACTTCACTTTTGCGTGCTGGATTGTGCATTTCTGCAGGACGAGCCAGGGCAAGAGCCGGGCAAAGGAGGGCTGCTGGAGGACATTGTGTGGCGCCTTTTCCTCAGCAGGAGCTGGGCAGCGTTGCATGGTGCTTCGTGGATGGAGTCTGGCCTAGTGACTGCAGGTGACATTGCATGGATAGGTGACCCCAGTTTCTCTGTTGGAAATATCCATCCTAGACTTGCTCCCTGCTGGGAGACTTTTGGTGGTGGATATGGGCAACCTGAGTTGGATGCAACCACTGGAAAGCCTCCATCAGACTTTTTTTTTTTTTTTTTTTTTTTTTTGCTATTGTAACTGGCACTTCAGGATGTGATCCTGTCTCCTCCCATGTGGCTCAGTGACTCTTTTTAGTAAGTGAATGGTGGAGCCCTGGAAAAAATTGAGACGCTGAAGGAAAGTCACTCCTGCAGTGGTTCCCTGCAACCCACCTGCATTGAGCAAACCGTGCAGGTGAGGCAGGACCTCCTGAATCGTTTTGTTGGACGCTGAGTTGGTACTTTGCAGACTTGTGGCCCACTGAGAGGGACAGGAACTGCAGAAATCCAAGCTGCTGGGGGCCAGGTTGGCAGTAATAAGCCCAACTAACTCGCAGCATAAAGGGAGAAAGTCACATCCTGGTCCAGGCTCCCTCTTGGCTCGTGTAACCTGGGAGCAGGAGCACAGCTGCGTGTTTTTTGGTTTTGGTTTTTTTTGTGTTTTTTGGTTTTGTTTTTTTTTTGTGTTTTTTGGTTTTGGTTTTTTCTCCATAAACTTCCATGGCCTTGCAAGTAACTGATGTGAATAAAGGCATTAAAGGGGTTTCCTCTTATTAGAGCTTAGCCTACCTTGTCCTCTTGGAGGTATTTACTCTCCCCGTTGCTGATGGGATGATTTAGGAGCCGCAGCAGCCTTGAATGGCAGGGGCTCATCTACCAACCGGTGGCTCCTAGTGCACCGCCTGGCGTGTTGGAAATGGGTTTGAACTGCCTTAAGTCAGGAAGACTGCAGCGTTAGTCACTGTCGCTGCAGTAGATGCTGGGTGATGACAGCGCCCAAGAAACCCTCGCAGCCTGCCACAGATGTTGGTCATGAACTGGAGAGGTTTGGGCTCCTACCCGTCCCCACCTCTGGCTGCATGCAGCTCCTGCTCGCCGTTTGAAAGCTGACTGATTTACTCAATTAAATTAGGAAATTTCAAAGCAGAGAATGAAGAGGCCCAGCGGGAAAATTAGATCTTAATGCAAAAACTATTTCAAGGCGTTACAAGGCTGGGAAGGACTTAGCGGAGCTGGCACTGCGCTCGTGCCGCTGATGGCAGCCACCGGCACCACTGTGTCAGGGCACCCGGAGCAGGGGCCGAGTGAACTTGTGCCTCCAAACATTTACTTTAAAAATAAACAAATAACAAAATTACAATCGCAGTGAAACATATATTGCTGTGTGGCTCAAACTGCTCTTTTCTTGGGGGAACGCTGGAAAACCCTAACTACCTGACGGTGGAGAGGGAGGAAAGCGTAAGCCTACAGCCGTTACGGTGGTCCCTTAGCACTGAGCCATCTTCAGCCCGACGAGCGCGGGCCGGCAGGGTGGAGCTGCGGGTGATCCAGCTGTGCACAGCTGGCCTTCTCCTGCCCGGCGCCGCGTGCCTGGTGCCTCCTGCTCACACCTGACATAGCTATTGCTGGAAGGGCTCCAGAAAGGCACCACAGTCGCAGGCTTGCTCTTTTCGCTGTCTAAAGAGTTACAAAAAAAAAAAAAGGGAGAGCAGATGGCTCCCGTGAGGTTTGCTTCAAGCGTTTCTCGCGCTGCATCCCGCCCACGACAGGACCGCGGCGCCGCCAGCCCCAAAAAAACACCTCCTGGGCCTGGCCGGCCAAACCTGCGCAAAGCTGGGACCAGCCCCGCCAGGACGAGCCAGCCCCAGCCCGCGATCCTGGTCCCGCTGCCCGGCCCCAGGGGGGGCGACGATAGCACAGCACGCAGTCACGCCGTGGGTTTTTAACTGTCTTTATTAAATCATCGTTAACTGCAATCAAAGCAACTATGCCCTTTAAGTCACTTACATTCCCTTAGCTTAATGGGAGGGGTTTTTTTTGCTTTTAGGAACTATTATCCAGCAATCAAGGAGGCAAAAAGCGCCAGTGGCGCACAGCTGTGACAGGCGTTTAGGGAGGTCGCCGCTCGCACCCTGCGGCGGCGCAGGCCCTACTCGCTGACGGTGATGGCCTTCTCCACGGATATCCCTTTGACCTGGGTTGAGGTCAGCGTGGCTACTATTTTCTTCTCTCCTGCTCTCTTTGGAGTGCAGATTATCTGAGACTTAAAGATCCCACCAGGCTGTACGTCCCTAAGGAGAAGAAAGAAACCAAACAGTCTCGGCATGAGCTTGCAAGCATTTCACTTAATCACTTAAGCGTTTCACTTCAATGCTTTCTACTCGTTCCACTTAGGCCATCAGGTCTGTTTAGCGCTGCGGTTTCCCTCGTCCTGTAACCCACGCGGGACTCGAGCCCGCTCGGCGCCGTGGGGCCGGCTGGTGGTCCCAGCGCTCTCTGGGGAAGGAGCCCCCGAGCCCGTCCCGTGCTGCTGAAACGCTAAATTTGGAGCTGAAAGGAGCAGCTGAATTTGGATCTGAAGGAAAAGCACTGAGAAAGCCCTCGCGTCGTCTGAACGCCAGGCCGAATGCGCCAACCTCCGGGCAGAAGCGTCTGCCGCCCGGACTGTGCCCGAGCGCAGCACGAGCCCGGACACGGCTTTCGAAGAGGTGCGTGGCTCTAGGTCCCCTCTCCCCTTCTTTAAGGGGAATTTAAAAAGTACAGTTCTGCCGTGCTGTTTTAATACAGGGCCTGGGCTCGCTCAAAGTTTCGCCTTACCCTTCGTCAAACGACGTCATCTTGAACATGCCCAGGCCCTCCACGAACAGCTTGCAGTCGTCCAGGGGGATGCTCAGCGTGTTCTTGAAGATGAAGGCGCAGGTGAACTCCTCGTCCACTTTCGCGGTTTCTGGCATCTGACAAGGGAGGGGAGACAGAAGCAGGCGCGAATGCCGGGGGTCAGGGAGGCAACGAAGACCGTCGGTGCCGGACCTGCTACCGTTTCGCTCTGAACCCCTGCGCGTTTGGAGCACCCATACGGAGGAGGCCGGACCAGGCGAGACGCGGGAGCCCCTCCGGACGGTCTCTGCATGCCGTAAACCCTCCTGGCCGTGCCGTAAACTCTCCTGGGGAAGACTTCCCACCTCCAGCGTGGGGTCCCCCAAAATCCTGGGCACAAACCCTTGTGGGCCCTGCCTTGCACCAGCCCACTCGGCTATTCATGCTAAATAACGCGGCCACACCGGCATGCTTTGAGCTGAGCGTGCTTCCTACTTTTGGAAACTTTTGCTGGGAAACCTCGGCGTTAAGGGTAGTAGGACTTTCCACCCTCGTCCTGGAGGACGCCTGGCTGGGTGCTGCCTCACCTTGACGGTGATGGGGGGGTACTGGAAGACCAGCGTCGTCTCCTTGGTGACTTTTTCATCTGTTCCCTCAGTCTCAGCAATGACAGTGACTTTGATGAGATCTTCATCTCCCACTGAGGCCAGCACCTCCATGTATTTGTCAGCTGCTATTTTCAGAGGGATCTGGGTCTCTGCGGGGAGAGAAAACGCGACAACGCGGCTCTATCATGCACCGAGGAACTGGGCAGCAAAGCCAGCTCTGCCAGCAAATGCCTGCGGTGCCTGTGGGACGTGGGATGAGGGGCCACCACCACTGCGAAGGGCTGGCTGGGCTCACGCCATCTCCTCTCCAAGCACCAGCTCGGCCTCGTGTGTGGCATCTCCATAGCCCAGCTCAGTCCATCCTCATCCTTAGCTGCCCCCAAGGTGGCTGAGAAGCATCTGCCTGCATGCTTTTAAGCGCACTTCCCCTGGGGTTTCTCTAAGGCACTGGCTGGAAGACAGTGAGTGCTGCTATATAATTAGCTGCTCGCCTTTCACTTCAGATTTCCTTATCTCCAAATGTAGGTAGCTAACCTTGTGTCCTACCCTGCTGCATTTTGACAGCCACAGTACATATGTGAAAACACTCAGAAAGCACCAGAAGCGACGATTTTTTTGCATGAGTGACTCATTCTTGGGATGAGCAAGTGCTGCTAATTAGTCATCACTTACTATTTTCTTATTTAGCAAACTTCAGTCACAATATTGGGGATCAGAAATGCAACCGAGGTAGCTCAGAGATGCGCAGCGAGCAGCAAACAGCTCTAGGAATCAGCTACGCTGGCAGCCCACAGGCTGAAATTTTTTTGGCAAAGAACTCAGAAAAGAATTCCACAATCCGTTCATCAGCACTACAGCAGCAAGAACAAGAAAGAAAAGGCTGACATTTTTCAGCCCATCTAAATCCTGTGAGGGATCTGACCGATATGGACGATCCACATCTTGAGGCTGTGGTGCCATCTTTGGAGCGCTTACGCTTATGCAGTGCTTTGCAGGGCCGTGCTGCGCGTGATGCTCATGAGCGAGACACACAGGCACACCTCACCCACACAGTGAAAATGTCTGTCAGCTCAAAGAGCTATATTTCTAACCAGCTCCCTGACATTGCAGCGGGGCAGGGACTGTTTCCATGTTTTGATCCCTGCCACAGCACAGGGATCCCAATCAATGACTAAGACTCTCTGATGCAGTCACAAGAGAGGAAGGTAGCAGGTAGCCAATTTCTTTTCTTTCTGCTATGCAGAGCCATAGACTGATCTATAGTGGAGCCACTACACCTTGGCTTCCGGAAAATCAAAGATTGTCACAACAAATAGTCTACAGAACGTAGCTGAGATCTCTGTGCCTACCAGATTTGCCTTCAAGCTTGACGATTTGCTTGATGGATCCAAGATTGGCCTTAATTTGACCAATATAGGACTGCAGCTGGCAGGAGGCGGCAAGATTGATGGTCCAGCTCCTAGGAGCAGAGGTCTTCACTATGATGCCCAGATCAATAGGATTACCAGGATACAAAGGTGTTTTGCTGGTTATCTCAAGCTGAACATCAGGCTTGGCGACCACCTTGTGCTGGTCCTCTGTGCTAGGGAGCACCTCATGCGGGCTCCTAGACCTGGGGTGCACATCAGGGTGGACCCCAGCCATGGGGAGCGTGGCTGAAGCGAAGTGTGCTAGAAACCCATTTCCTGAGATGAAGGAGGAAGCTCGCTGCATGGACAGCCTTTCCTCTGGCGAGCCTGGATGGAGAAAAACGTGGGTGATCAGGTGTATCTCAGTCTTCTTGCCTAGAGCCACCTTCCCTTTATTTATCCTGCTGCTGCTGGGCAGAGAGGATATTGGGGCCCCAATTGCCTCCTGTCTTAGCTCAGGAGCCTTAAGTAGTTTTACACTACCACTGAATCTAACTGCAGCTTTTTGGACTGATGAGGGTCTGGGGGACTTATCTGAGGAGACACTTTTAGCGGATGGATGCTCCTAAGCTTTCTAGCCTGCGAACATCCCACGCCTCGCTGGGAAGGGTCTAATACTCTAGCACAACACCTCTGGGGCTGAGGCAGGGAGAACCAGGGAGAGGGAGGTTTTTTTTAGGAATTTTTCCTAATGTGGTGTGAGGATTGGAAAGACTAAAAGGAAAGAAGTTAAGCAACTGTGAGTCAGACCACACTAGGTTTGTTGCTTGGCCCATTCCTTTCACTGCCTGTAGGCTTGCTTGCACCTCTCCTTGGAAAGCAGCCCATAGGTGTCACTGCAGGCACAAAGGTACCCGGGCTTTACAGCACTTGCCATTGCACCTGCCCCTGTGCTTTCCTCCTGGGAATAACACGCTGTGGGATGACTTAGGTGGCCAAGGTTCTCCTCTTTGACACTGTTTTATAGGAGGGGGGAAGTCACCTTCAGGGTACTTGTACTGCGCTGTGATGTCTTCCCGCTTGTTTTGCCCCACGGCTTTCGTGCTGATGTTCTTGCCAGCAGCTCTGGTATCCACGGCAATTTTGATGTACTTCTGCTTGCCATTCACGTTCTTCACGTACCAGTAGACTTTGTCGGCATTCACTTCCGCATACACAAACTTGCAGTCAAAGTTCAAATACACATTCCCTTCTCGGACAGCCGTCAGTGGAGATGGACCACACTGGAAAACACCTAGAAAGCGCAGTGAGCATCATCCACTTTTTCAAATGTGAGCAGAGCCTCCAACTTTTATTCCACCCACGAACCCCTCTCCCCCAAAGCAGGAACTTGTTGCCATGGTAGTTGACTTTTAGTAGTAAATACTCCTCCAATTCAGTTAGGTACTCCAAAAGCCCTCATTCCAACAATAGCTGTTTGTTGGTTTTTTTGCATGACCAACTGTGTTTTGTATCAAAGGTACACACTGCAAAGGTCTCGTAAGAGCCTTTATGTGTTTTTTCTCCTCATAACCATCTTAGGGTTCGAAAAAGTCACAGCTCTGTGATGGAGTCCACCAAGTCTGGGCACCAACATCGACCTCTTGGCAATAGCTGACCTTCTGCATGGCCTTGAGGAGTCATGCTCCTCTTTCTGCCTCTAGATTCCCTCTGTGTGCAGGGAGGGTGGTGGCCAATTTTGGCAGGATTTCCTCTCATTTAGAAATGAATGGACTAATGACGCCCTTGGGAAAGCTTTATAGAAAGTGTCATTATGCAGGAAAGCTGCAGCTCCTCTCCGTAGGGTAGTCCCGAGCCCTCAGCAAAAATACACAGAAATACACAGAATCGTTTAGGTTGGAAGGGACCTCTGGAGATCATCTAGTCCAACCTCCCTGTTCAAGCAGGGTCACCTAGAGCATATTGCCCAGGATCACATCCAGACGGCTTTTGAATATCTCCAGGGAAGGAGACTCCACTACCTCTCTGGGCAACCTGGTCCAATGCTCTGTCACCCTCACAGTGAAGAAGTTTTTCCTCAGGTTCAAATGCCTGCAGTGACTAATGATGCTGCTGCACTTCTCCTTGCATCCTGGCTTTGTGCGGGTGCCCCAGGCTGGGGGGTGGCAAGACAATGAATGAGCCTTGCTCAGGCCCTGAGAGCCCTCTGCCCGGGCTGCGACGCAGCGCCCTCAATGCACGGAGAAGTGTCTGTGTGACCACTAAACACTAAAGTAAAAAAGAGAAGGAAAACCTGCTTTGCCCTTCAGTTGTGCACCGTGTTTGAGGCCCTTAAAAATATGTTTCCGGCGTGAATCCATGTGTCTTAACTCCATTCTCTGAGTGATAATGAAGGACGGGGAAACTGAGCGATGGGGACAGGACTTTGCCTGCGCTCAGGTTCACCAAACAGATCAGGGGATGGTGGGGACAGAAATTAGCTCTGATTTCCAGCTGTGGGCTCTCACCTCTGAAATGATATTCACTTCCCCACAGCATCCTGCAGGCTTGGTTTTCTGCCTGCCAAGAAATGTTGTTCCCTCCGTCCCCTGATCTGTTTGGTGGATGGCACTGCCCAAGTGCTTGGAGAGGCACAGAGGACCTCCGAGTTTTGCTGACCAGGGACCCTAATTTTCATGTGAAATGTCCCTCCCTCCCCCAGGAGCACAGAAGGACCCTCCTAGGCAAATCTTACCTTGACTTTGCTCCTGAGGGGTCGAATCGATCGTCTGCCAGCCGTCAAACCCCGCTGGCAAGTCCGGCCGTTTCATCCACACATCATTCCACACGTGGAAGTTCCTGGGTGCGTTTAGGGTACAAAGGAAAGGGGAAAAAAAGGATTATTGGTTCACTGTGGTATAATATACACCTCCAGCACCTACACCTCTGCTTAATCCTCCTAGAGGGCTGGTTTAATGGGGATTTGTGTGCAGAAAACCCCAGGCTTTCTGCCTCTGCTGGACAGCAAACCCCAAGCAATACGGAAATCCTCAAAGGAAAGCCTGCCGGGGCCGGGACATGCAGCGTGTGCAGTGCAACCCGCAGGGAGGCTGGCAAGTATTAGCTGTCTTTGGCACTACCAGATGGAGTCTTGTGACAGGTTGTTCAGTTGTTCTCCATTTTCATTCAGGTAAACGTCAACTCTCAGGTCTTCCTGCGTGTCATGGGCCGAGTCGAAGTTACTCACGCTCCGGGCTGGGATTCCCAAGCAGCGCATGACTGTGACAGACAGACAAAACATGGATTCACAGAGCTGCTGAGGCTGGAAGATCCCTCCAGAGATCATCCTGTCCAACCCCCCTGCTCAGCAGGGTCACTTAGAGCACGTTGCCCAGGACTATGTTCAGACAGCTTTGGAGTATCTCCAAGGATGGAGACCCCACATCCTCTCTGGGCAACCTGGTCCAGTGCTCAGCCACCCTCACAGTAAAAAAGTGTTTTTTTACATTGAGATGGACCTATCTGGGGTTTCAATTTGCACCCAGTGCCTCTCATCCTGTCACTGGGCACCACCGAGAGGAGTCTGGCTCTGTCATCTTTATTTCCCACCCATCAGACATTTATACACATTGATAAGATCCCTCTGGGCCTTCTCTTCTCCTGGCTGAACAGTGCCAGCTCTCTCAGCCTTTCCTCCTATGAGAGATGCTCCAGTCCTGCAATCAAAACATCATGCCCAAAGAGCAGACAGAGGCTCCCCTGTCCCCCCAGTGCTCTGGGAGGGTGCGGTAATTAGGTTTATTTGCATGGGAATTAGGATAATTACAAGGGAGACAACTGACTGTTTACCTGTAGTGAGGACTCCTGAGAAGACCCAACACTGACCATAACGTACTGACTTCTTCTTTTTGTAATATTGCTGCAGAATTGAGACACTCCCGATCCATGTCACAGGGGAGGTCCCGCCGGTGTACACCCCTGACCAGTTCCCGAACAGGACACCTCTGTCATCATTGGCATTAACCTGTGGCACACGGACGCACACACGCGCAGAGGAGACAAATTCAGCAATGAGGTTGAAAGGGGCTTAAACCTCAAGGTCCCTCCGCAGCCTGCATTTCCCCATGTGCCCTCCCGCCCTGTGGCCCCCGGCAAGGTTGCCAGGGCTGGTTGCCCTGTGAAATCCAGAGTGGGAGACAGCATTGCTGCTCAGGGCAGTGCTGGTGCAGCCTGCATTTTGCATCCTAAACCCCACAGCCCCAGAAACGGTGCCACGGCACAGAGCAGCTGCTTCCCTCACGAAACGCAGCCCTTGCGTTGGTCCCGCAGGCGAGCTTCCTGGAGGAGGGCAGCCCTCGGGGCTGTGAGCTGTGTTGCTGGGGAGACGCTTTATTTTGCTTGTTCCTTCCCTGTACTCAAAACTGCCTCTGCCTCTTCCCTTGCAGTTTCCCAGAGGAACCCATTTCAGATTCATCCCGAAATACTGTTCAAAGCCCCAGGGAAAGGAGAACAAATAAGAAGGGGGAGGGGAAGGTGGGGTGGCAAAGTACTTCCCCAAGGGAGCCATACCAAAGCAGACATGGCTCTGGACACAGCCACAGGATCCCTTCGAGTGCCTAGCTTGAGTTTGCTCTGGTCCAGCAGATACATGCAGGCATCCAAGATGAATTCCTCAAACTATTTTGGAGAGAAAGTGGAGACATTTTTACATACTGCTCTAAAATAGAATTTGCTCCATCAGTACGACGTCTGTTTAGGTACTTGGAGGAAACCATCCAACTAGTCCTAACTTCTAAACTTGTTTTATGATACTGAATGAACCTCGTTCTCTAGCCTCTGGGGCTCTCCAAGGCTGTTCTCTTCTAGGAAGGACTTTCTTAGATGAAAAACCACCTCGGAGGGAAACTGTGCAAGACACACCGTGTCACATGTCTTCAAACGTAGCTGGGACCGGGCCCAACGCTCTTTACCTCTATGAGTAGTCCTAAGTTACCTGCGTCATCTCCCTGAAGGCTCACAGGTTACTCACTCATATGAATGACGAAAATTTGAGAGACCGAGAGGTACCCAGTCTATTGACACAGGTAAAAAATACACTCTGAGAAAAAAAGGGTACACAAATGCAGATTATTACAGCAGGAGATTCCTCATTAGCAATTGCTGATAAAGTTCCTCAGGCCCAATTCATAGGGATGTCAAACACCCTAGGTCAGGAAGCTTGAGAGGATATCTATATCGACTCTCATTGCTTAAGGGAAGAATAAATATTAGGATAGGAACAGCCCTACACACAATGCCCGTCTGCCAATTGTGGCAAGGTGTTAAAGGTATTAAAAGGGTGTTAGCATGGGGACCTTTGCTGGGCTTTGCTTTATTTTGCAACTTTGAAAACATAGATTTGTAAAACAAAACAAAACAAAAAAAGAAATCTGATAAGGCATCCCTCCCCCAGCATTTTTGGAGTCTGCCTAGAGAGTGTGCCGGATGCTCTGTTTGCGCTCCTGTGAGGTCTTTATGGGTGCAATTAGTCCTGCTCCAGCATCTACCTCTTAGCTCTAACCCAAGCGAGTTTCCCATTCCACTCTACTGAAGTCATTCTGGAGGGATCATGAAGGAGCAACCTTTCGGAGAGGGAGGACATGTGGTGTCATGTACCTATCATTCCACCAAGCTGTTAGTGAAGGTATCCGTTAGAGAATAACAACCTCCAATAGCGCTTTTTCCTCTATTTTTTTTGATAATGATGCAACAGGTAGAGAATTAGACTTTTTGTTTGTTAGCACTCTCCAAAGCTCCTTACTTTGATAACAACAATTGGTTTACTGCAATCAATAATCAGTAGCATTAGAGGAGAGAGGCTTCCTTAAGAGACTCTTTTCAGCCAGAAATGCTCTGTTCCTAATTTCCATATCCTTCAAGAGGGTCTCGTGGTGTAATTATAAACATATCATTAAACTCTACTCCCAAGCCATGGCTAAGGGAAACACTTAAGTACAAGGATTACGCCAAGCAGGTGAGCCTTCCCAGTGAAACTGGAAGGATTATTCAAGGGCTTTGAGCTCCTCCTGAGCTTAAACTATTCATTGGTTTGATTCACTTACTTAAACAAATGCCTATGAGAGAAAGAGAGGATGATGGTAATAACACAGACAAAGTAGCTATGTTTTACCTGCCCAAAATTCCAAGGTCTACTGTATATGTAGTTTGCTGATCCAACATACATGTATCCCGTGTCGTTGAGCACATATTCGTTCTTCTCAGCATCACCGGCCATGAATACAGTATCCGCTTGAGCAAAAAACACAAGATATTATTCGATTTTCACATGCATACTCTAGGAAGCTTTCCTTGGCAAGTAAAACTTGGGAGCTGGTGGGTGGTAACCTTCACATCAGATGATGGCCATACCAATACTCATACCTTTCTTCCTATTGCGGAGGAATGTCCTATAAGACTACTCTTTATTTTATTCCTATAAGACTACCATTTTATAGCAGAAAAATGCTTCATTTTGAATAAACGTTTATGCATAGTGGACTGCAGAGAGAAGTGGAGCTTGCTGCTGTTGCCACCTTACTGCTGGCTCCATGAGGACAGTGCTTGCAGTGTTTTAAGGAGAAAAAGAGTTGTACCAGGGAAAGAGAGGAAGAAAAATGTGAGGAAAAGTTCCCCTCAGCATGATCTCTGGTAACAGTAATTATAGTCTGCGGTTGCCACATCCATCTCCTTACCTTGACACCATGGGTTGAACAAAAGGTAGACAGCATCATTTTCAGGCTTATAGGTGTTTGACTCCGTCATGACCTCCAGGCAGTATTTTCCTACGATGGCATCAGCCGGACTGGTCACAGCCACCTGGCACTAGGGAGAGGACAAGGTGGGGATGGCAGATCCTTCACGGTAGCAACAGGCACGGCGCAAGCAAACCTGTGTGATGCTGGCACAAGCACAGGCTAGTAAAGGGCCAAGATAGGGGAAAGGGCCAAGGATGGGACAGCTCTTGTGTACGCAGTGGCAGAGCAGTGAATCAAATAGATAATGCTGCTCATGGAAAATTACCAGGACAGCAGGATGGAAACATGAGAATTTGTTCTGCCATTCCCAGCAGAGACGGCATTATTTCCCCTTGCCGTCGACCCGCGGGGAGCAGTGTGTCTGTCTACGGGCTCTACCTCATTGCTGGAGGACTTGATGATGGTGGCACGCCACCCGTTGTAGTCCTTCCCAGACCTCACGTTCAGGCACATCAGGGTCCCCAAGGTCTTCATCGGCTTATCCCCTGGAAACAAATCCAACAAAAAACTCAAGACAGCCGCATGAGCTGACAGCACCGCAGTGTCTAATGGCAAAAGTGAGCAGACGGGCAGCGAGGCGGTACCTCGTGCCACTGGGTGTGCCCAAATCACTTGGGGGCTCATCTGCTTGGCCTGGTGTCCCCTCGCCGGGGGCGAGCGACTCACTTACCGATGGTGAACTGCAGCTTCACCTTGTCGGTGGTGCTCAGGTCCCTGTTGAAGGTCAGCTTCAGCTGAAAGCCCTGCCCGCGCCTCACCACCAGGCTTTTGTTGTCGTACGCATCGGTGTGGTGCAGACGAGTGTTCTGGCTTTTGAGGAAATCAACCCCAGTGACCTTCAGCTGCGTCCCTAGAAAGCCATCAGCAGAGAGGGAGACAAATGTCGGACATGAAATTGCACAGTAAAGACAATTTTAGTCTTTTTAATGGAGCTTTGTGGGTCACAGAAATGTCTGTGAGCGTCCAGCGATCGCGTAAGAAACCACGTCAAGGATCTCTGCAGGCAATGGGTGGTGTAACACAGCCAGCAATGCCCTCTCTGCTCCTGCCCTAAGCACCAAGCACCGGACACCGCGGTCCAGGCGCCAGCAGAGCGGGAGGCCACGTTGGCCAGAAACGATCCTCCGAAACCACAGCCTTTTGAGAAAGCTGGTAGGGATGGAAACGAGCAACACGAAAACTCCACGGGCACAGATCAAGCAGATATTTTAAATCCCTCTGGGTTTGTTAATCTGAAATATTGATAGCTAACCTATACATACGCAGGTACACACAACCCTATACAGTAGACAAGTGTCTGCACTGCCTTGACCAGCCCTGTCCCTGCAGAAACGGATGAGTTTCAGCATCCGGCCGCCACCGCGGCCCGGGGGCTCCTCTCCCCGGGCCCCAGGGCTGCAGCGAGGCCGCCGTGCTGGCGGCCGCGCCATGCCG